TAGCACCATATTACAACTCGTCAGAGACAAGTGAAGCCCATCCTTTGATCAAATGTGTGCTAAACAGTTGTGTTATCTCCCCTTATGCATTGGGCTATTCACACTTCCTATATCCTCCTATCACGCCTTCATTGTTACAATTTTTACCATGCCTATTTCGATGTAGTGTGGTGTGCTCCTTTGAGCGGCATTCATTAAAACCCTTGACACTCCACGCCAGCGTTCTCACCCCCTTCACCCTTCTCAAGAAAGCACACCACACTACATCGAAATAGGCACGGTAAAAACTGGAACAGTGAAGGCGTAATAAGAGGATATAGGAAATGTGAATTTCCCAGGGTAGAAGGGGAGATACAACAACTGTTTAGCACACGTTTTGCCAAATGATCGGATTAGCTTGTCTCTTTCACGAGTTGTTGTGTGGTACTAAGAATGACGAGACTCACTGATAATGCCGACTACGATGCCGGCGAAACGTCTGGGAATGTACCACATCTCTGGTCCTACTTTGGAAATGAGCATGCATACAATGGACTCCGTACAAGGTGCGTTCCTCTAAGTCTTCCTACCAATATGACTATGTTGCGAAAACAAGGTCAAACAACTTCTATACAACGAAAAGAGACTGCGACCACACAAAAGGCCACACCATCTTGGTCTTCATACCTTCGATAAGCTGTGATGATTTATACCTTGAGGGACAATGATTTCGTAATAAAAGGCGAGCAATAAGCAATAATATTATTATAATAATAGAATATGATTCAATTAAATTTAATTGTCTCTGATAAGCTTTTAGAAAATAGTATTGTAAAGTAAAATGCCGAAACTTGAACAATATTATTTAATGTATTTGGTGAGTTGTGTAAAAAAAAATAATTTCTAGGTCTAGCAATTTATGCCACATAAAAGACGAAAGTTTGTTATGGATTCATTGGGAACGCTAGAACAGGCGTCAAAAATAATTAAGCTGAGGCAAGTGATAGTTATAAGGTAAATTTTCTTCGATTTACATTAACGCAAATTGACAAATCCTTATAGTGTAACTTTTATCCGAAATAAAAGGTTAAATGAAATAATTTATTATAGACTTTATGAAATTTTATGAGATCCGTGAGAAATCGATGTTGTCAATAATAATGAAAAGTCGGTGTATATTTCAATGTACCGATAGTTAATGCTTAAAAAATAAGTAGGAAAGTACATTGACAGCTGAAAATGGAATATAGATAGATAGATAGATAGATAGAGATAGAGAGAGAGAGATTATGAGTAAAAGCAAGACAATAGAATAGAAGCAATGAGTGACCTGCTGGTGAATGAGCTTGCGTTTCCTTAACGCTGCGTACATCTGCGATGCCTCGCTTGAAGTTCGCGTCCGCATCGAGTCAGATCTATTGCGCATTGTGTAAGGCTCAACCTCTTCGAGATAACGCTGCTGCGCAATTGCCATAAAGGAGGCAACACGAGCTGAAGATGCCTCATTACTGGGATTGACGGTTATTGAAGAGGCGACCTGGCCGACTCCACTGGGGCCCCCAGTATCGCTACATTCGCTACTGGAATACCTGTGTTCCAATAGTCCGGTGCTCGTGGCTGGGAGGTGAGGCGAGGCAAGCTGATTAGTAATAAAAGCGATCGAAGTAGAGGGGGAGGCAGATGTTGAGCACATAACCGGAATTGATGTTGTTGTCACGGTCATTGAGGTGGGGATCGGCAGACCAAGGGTATTAAGTTCAAAACTGGTCGGATTATTTAATGTGACTGGACAAATCCTTGGGCCAATTGTTGGGCAATGGGGGCCAGACGAGGCTGATTGACAATGAGTATCAGAGGATGAAAGCTTCGGGGAAGAAGGATTAATCGACTCCTAAATAAAAAAGAAAAGGTAGAGAAGGAAGTGCATAAAATCTTAGTATAAAAAAGATTAGGCACATACGACGAACAAGAGGAATTCAAAAAAAACTTATTTGGGATAGCCTTAATACAAATTTTACAATTTGTAAAGATATAAATGGCGAAATAAAAAACATAAAATGCTAATTTATGAGAATTTGTCGGCTTCCTGAAATCATAAAGAGAAGGAAAAACTGCCTGTGAAAAAGTAAGGTAAGCAGTGCTTCCTATAAGAACCAGCCGGATAGACTCAGTTAATAAACCAATTAAGTAAATATGTTGCGGACAAGCTTTGAAGAGAGTATTGCTTTAGGATAACATGGTTAAGCTGTATACCAAAGGCCACATCAGCTGGTTCGGCATATCTGCGATTAATAAATTAATTATTCGGTAATAAGAAGGGTTTAGATATTACCAGTAGATCATATATATGAAATGTATTTTTCCTATTTCGTTTGAGCACTGAAGGATTGCTAATTGAATTTTTCCCACAATACTGTTAGTAGGCCTTACGTTTCCATTGAATTTCACATAGCCTTTCTTCTCAAAAGGTGTTCTCATCCAAGGTGGATTGTATGTTTGATCTCGCCTAGGTCTCATCAATGTCTTCAACTGGACTCGAATCCTGGTAGGGCAGGGTATAATCTCGAAACGTTGGCTAGTACTCTACACTTTCACGAAGGACCTTGAGTTAGAATGTGGATGTGAATTTCGGGAACAGCCAGGCCTTACCCCATATCACATTCTCTATAAGATTGTCGATGAAGCACAGTTTTATTTGCTATGGCAATCGACTACATTACTTATTTTGTGCGTTTTAAGTAGGCTTTCGAGATTACCAGTAAATCACGTAAATGAAATGCATTTATTTTATTCCATTTGAGGTAAAGAAGGTAGTAATATTTTTCCTTATCACCTTGAAATAAATAGAGTGAGCATATCATATTAATTTATCAATCTAATGTTCAATTAAAAATAATTATATCGTAGGTATAATTGTGATAGTTTGAATCAAGACAAACGTTTTTTAGCTAAGTGAAGGTTTGTGTGACATACAATTAGATTTATCTAATGGCTCTAGTACCGCTTTTCCTGAGATCATTCAGGAAAATAAACAAATGAGTGCTAAAGGAGCATAGACATAGCCGAATACAAAGCTACATTGATATGAAGAAGAAAAAGCTCTTGTATGCAGAAGACTATATTCCGATCAGCTGGTAGATAAAAACGATTTGTCGGGATAATTTAAAAAGGAAGGAATACTAGATAGCAAGAAATGGAAGGATGATATATATTAAAACAAGGTAAAAAGGCTCACATTTGGCGAACTTGGTGATAATGGTGAATAATTATAACGGCAAGGCTGAGCTGTGGCAGAAGTGGAACAGCTAGGCAATTTTGATACTGCAGTTGTGTTAGTGTCAGTTGAAATAAGAGGAAGGCCAGTTGTAGCCACCGTCCCAGACATTGTCGTCTGAGCCCAAGATACAGAATCTGTCGCTGACGAATAGAATAAAAAAATCAATTTAGATAAAAATTCTTTCAGAATAAGTTAAGTATTCAAGGTAATCAAGTAAAGTAGATTAAAAAGATATTTACTAGAAAAATTTGAAAATAATCAGCACAAAGCTAGAATGAAGAGAACAGGTAAAATATTTCAATGCAGTTAGACCAATAGAATATTGATATTTGTGGATTTTATTTGAAAGAATAATTAATGGTTACTATTTAACATTATGAGGACAATCTTAGTTAGTAAAAAACTACTAATAATGGAGTATGCAGAGAGTTGGATAAAGTATGTGATATTAGTTTGAAGAGGATGTTCAAGTTAGTATAAAAATATAGGTAATTATAAAAGAATGAGATATAGATATAAAGCAATTCATGATAAGGGGAAAATATGGATAAGTTTACATCAAAACCAAGGAGGCTAACCGTATTCATAAAAGTTAATTCGAAAAAAATTAAAGGTTAGGAAGAAGCCCGGGAAATAATAAATCGAATATTATTTAAAAAATAAATTCCAAAATTAAGTTTAACTCGTAGCACCTTGGAATAAGGCTCATACATAATAGCCAAGGTAAAGCAAGTATTCAGGAAGGATCAATGCGATCAATGCGATTTACGTAACATGACAAACGAAAGCTCAGCAAGGGTTCATCAAGGTCGCAGGGCAGTGCGCAGAGGACCTATTCGTACAATTCTACAGCCATAGCTCTAAGGCAACCCCCCACAGCCTTTGGTGGAACCAATATATGAATCCTTTCACTCGCCTATTCGAACGAAATGAAAGGTACTCGGATTAATAGATTCGTCGAAAACCAGTTTTACAACAGTGATTTTAATGTTTAGCGACAATTGACAAGCGAGATAGAAGGAAAACTAAATAAAGGTCAGAAGTCCTGCAAACGGCACATGGTATCGGTGCTGAAGATGATTATGTTTCACTAAACCCATTTATAGCAATAGATTCTTGCGCGCCATTAAAGGAAACAAGAGCACAGAATTGTGTGAATAGGTAAATGGGCCGTATGAAGTGGGATTGAGAGATGCCGCACTAGAAGGT